ACTAGCCGTAAAATGATTTTCTTCCCGCTAAACTGAAAAAAAAACGCAAGTTGGCAACAGTGCTTAAAACCATTTCTGCTAGACTAACTGTCAACAAACAATAAACTGACTCTTTGATGAAAGTGACATAAAAGCAATATAGATTTTTGTAAGTGTGATCAGGGGGGTGACAGTGAAATAGGAAAATTGTAAACAATCATTAGTGTCATTCCCCTCATGACAAGTATGGCCGCCTAGACAAGGACAGCATTGTTTTTGTCTAACTATTGTCTAACTTCACAGTTTAGAATTGACAGATTTCAGTTTCAGAGACAACTTCAGATTTGTTCTAGAACAAATTCGAAAATATTCGACGCCATTTTAATTCATTCCGTTTAGTTTCGTTTTGAGTTCAATTTAATATTTCGGCTGAAATTTATAATTATAAAGGTAATAAAGTATATAAAATATGTATTACATGAAGAATCCTGGAGAAAATGACGTTTCTGCAGTAATAGGTATGTCCCATGTATATGAAAAATAGGTAGTAAATAAACAGTTTTTAAATTTTTTAGATGCAAGAAAATGGTGTTATAATCTCTTTGATCGGCGATTTTTTTGAAAATGGAAACAATTTACAGCAAGGTAAGATCATTTTTAACTATAGCCAACATTAGTTATCTCCAGTATGTGCGATTTATTGTCAATAATGCAATAAATCGGACTGATAATCTGATTATGTTATCCGACTAAAAGTCTCTTTTTGCTTCTTTTTGATTTATAAGCCAGGTCTCTTTGGGAATAATGGACGCTTTTTTAAACAGTATATTTATATTTTATACCTAATATATCAATATTAAATAAATTTAATATTGATATTTTTACATTGTTAATTTTAGTATAAAAAAATTTGTTTTTCTGTTTTCAGGTTTTGGTATACCCAGGTTTTTGTATAAGGCTCCCGTTTTCATGTCCCTGTGTCCGTTTTCTGTCCTTGAAGTCTGCGAATACGTGTGTTTATTTACAAATTACTGTAAGTCATGCTTATACCTTAACTAATTTACGTTAAAAGTACATATAATTAACTAATTGGTATTGAAACAATACAATCCTCTATATTTTTATATTTATTTAGTCACGTTGTTCCATATTTCAAATAAATATATGTGAATAAATTATTTTTGGTTTTATTTATGAAAAGAAAAATACAAAATACATTTGAACTGAAAGAGGGCCCGCCATTGAATAACCGGAAACGGAAATGAAAATTAAGCCATCATGTCCTTATCATGTCAACCTGTCAATTGGAAAATTAGTTCTCCAGACGACAACGAAGGCTTTCGGTGGCGTATCGTGTTTCCACGATTTAACACAGAGTTGACACTTCTTTTTAGTTAATTATTTTATGGGTGTGATGATTAGGACCAAAAACGTAGGCATATTTTTAATGCTAAAATTGGTCGAGGAGATTCGCAAAACCGCTTAATATCCCATTGAGACAATATAAAGTAAATCAATCCATCTTCGCATAAATCATATAAAGTTCTTCTACAAGGAAATAGTATACCGGGTGGTGCATCGTCGCGTCGTTGGAAATATAGGATATCCCATGCAATTTTTGAACTATTCAAATATTGGCTACCCTATTGATTTTCCTTTGAATCGTAAATAGATTTTTTAAAGGTTTGCCAAATTTGAACAACTTTGGACCAGCCGATTTTCAGTAATTTAAGAAAGAATGCATCTATTTTCAAATTAAAATCGAACAGGTAACAATCAAACACCAGTCAAAAACTGACATACCTTAGGTTTACAAACTATAATTTTGTCATTGTCAAAAATAATTTAATTTTAAGATTCAGGGAAAATTAACTGAAACATGTCGGATACACTTTCTAAACTATTTCCCGCGTAGTGCCATTTTATCGTGCTCACTTTTTCTTTACGTGTATAACAATAAATTATTACTAGTACTGAATATTAAAATTTTAATAAAAACGTTCGAACACGAGGGGTAAACCGCAGAGGAATTATGGTGTACACTATGAAGGAATTCTACAGGAATTCCAAGGAATTACGAGGAATTCCAAGGAATTCCATAGGAATTACTAGGAATTCCAATTATTTCCGTGAGAATTCCAATGAATTCCAAGGAATTCCTTAGAAATTTAGAGGTGTTCCACAGGAATTAAGAGGAATTACAAGCAACTTTATAAAAAATTAACGAACATTAGTAAACCATGAATACTATAATAGGTAGTACTAAATTTAAAGAAAAAACGTTTTGCAGGCGATTTTTTACTATCCGTTTTTCGTTTTCGCTTCCAAAATTTCACAATATCAAATATCTACAGGTTAGATATTCTTTTAATTTAATATTGTACCCTCGATTATATATCTAAAATATTTTCCAATAGTACGGCCGAACCACCCCCGAGAGATCTAGTTATAACGTTCCCTGATTTCGCCATTTTAAAGAAACCCTCATAAGATTTTTTTATTCAGTACTCCAGAAAGTGTAAAGTTGATTTTTTCATTTCCTCGGAATAATACCTAGGTATATACTATAGGAAAATTAATACAACTTTAGGTGCACTTCATCAATGATACCATGCGTAATCTTATGGAATTTACTGGTGATCGTATTATGACGTGCAACTGAAGTTTTATTAATTTCCTTTCCTATAGATACGAGTATAACTAGGTACCTCTCATTTTCAAAAAATCCCGAGAAAAATTAATTTTAATAAGTAAGTGCCGACATATTTCCAGTATTTTTACCTCATGATCCCCTATTGGTACTAAAATTTAACTAAAAAAACGTAAATCTCGTAATAGTACTTTTTATTGTTAGATCTAGTACTTATAGAGACATTAGACATTTATAAAAATCACCAGAAAATTCATAGCGGAACTGCGAAACCGAGGTGGCAACGCTGGTTCAGACTGAAAGAGTTACCGAGTTCAAAACCAATTTAATTCCAAGGAAGACCTTGAATGATTGACCTTGACCTTGAAGACCAGGAATTCCAAAGGAATTCCGAAGGAATTACGAGGAATTCTGAGGAATTATTTGAGTAAAAGGAATTACGGTGTACACTTTTCCCTCTGCGGTTTACCCCTCGTTCGAACACAAAACATCCCCCTTTAGAACTTTTTCTTTAATGGCCATAAGCGGGAGTAAAAGACCAACCGCCCGAACAAACACTAGAGGCGCCACCGGTCATCAAATGGAGTAAAAATTGCGTAAATTTAATTATTTAATTTTGACACAAGGGGTCGCGCTTAGCTTTTTCAATTTTAATTCAATATTCATTGTTTTTAAACTATATTATTAGACTTTGTATTATTTTGTGAATGTATAAATGTTTTCTTAATATAAAGTTGCATTATAGTAATTTAAATTATATTACATACATCTCTGACATACATATTTAAGATTCAAATATTATGACATATATGTCAGTTACCGTCTAAAATGTCATCTTGATAAAAAGTTAGTTATTGTCAAAAGTAGTTAAAAATCATGTTAAAATATTAAAATTTACAAGTTATAATTAGATATTTTATATTATTTCAACAACAAACACATAATAGTACAGCGTAATGTTAATATGCAGGTCCAAAACAAAAAGTGCCGTTATATTTTTCAGTTTTCGTTGTCAGCCGCGGAAGTTTCAGTGATTTTAGTGTTGTCGGATATTTTTATTTGCGAAATAGAAATATTGCGTTTGGATTGCAAAATTAAAAGTGGAAGTTTTATTGCAATGTAAGTAAGCGTTTGTCCATTTTATATTTTATTTTTTTCGGTATACGCTTTTTTCATACCTACGACAAATATACATATATTGAAATTTTATAATTTCTAAATTTTATTTAAAAAATGTTAGAAAACAAGCTTGTAATCCTATAATTGACATAATTGTTATGTAATATATTCCATTTAAATGTAATATATTACTTTTTAATTAAAAAAATGTAAATTTAAAAAATATATTAAAAATATATACAGGCATTAATTGAAATTTTTTGAATGCGAACAAACACAAGAGGCGCTTTATTATTTACTTTCATTTCTTAACATGATAGACGAAGTTCTAAAGGGGGATGTTTTGTGCGTTCGAAAATGACGCTGGCAATTTAAGACATGTCGATTTTCGACTGGTATTTGATTGTTACCTATTTAGTTTTAATTTAAAAATTCATTCGGTTTTTCTCAAATTACTCAAAATCGTCTGGTAAATAATTGTTCAAATTTGGCATGTGTGTTTACCAAACGCCGACCTTAAAAAATCTCTTTACGACTTCGCTATAAAATCAATAGGAAAGCCAATATCTGGACAGTTCAAAATTTGCATGGAATTTTCTGTTTCCAACGACGATTTACCACCCGGTATAGGAATTGCGCAGTAACAGCATAAGTCGAAAATAATTTAAATATATCTTATTAGGTAATCTCTAAAATAAAATTAAGATAAAAAATGTTTATTGTTATGTTTAAATGTTAATATCTGTTGGATTAGTAATGAGATATAATGTAATAATATAAAGTTAGATTTCATGATTTCTTCTTTAAGTAGGCAACGCCATTTTGCCTACTTTATATGCACGGCCACTGTTTCGAAGTTTCGAAAACATATTAACATTTCGTTTTTCCTCGTATAATAGCCAGATCAGAACTTTAATTTGCAGAACTTTTAATTCAAAAGTCAAATAATATAGCTACAAATTGCTTAACTTAACTTCACCAAAATCGGCGCACTAGAACAAGATATATTAAAATTTTAAAATTCAATTTTTAAAATACATAAAAATTTTAGGTAAAAATTTTTCGCGGCAGACAGTGTATTTTTTCCTTTTAGGTATTAAACATTTATGGCACGTTTTGAAATATTTTATCCCATTTTGAATGGATACTTATTTTTAAATCATCAAACTAGCAAAAATTTATGAAATACTCCAAGAGAGCAACTACGTTATATAATTTTAAAATAAGTTTCTTGGAAACTATCATATAAAAATATTATTTTAACTACACACGTATTACTCTACTATGCCGAAAATTCGTTACTTACAATTTTTGTTGGCGTTTTGTTTTGACTAGGTTGAGGAACAGAACCTGATGAGGTAGAAGGTTCGCTAGCGATAGAAAGAGTAAGCGGCATTATCTTTAGAGGATGCCCGTTGAGTTTTATATCCGTAGTTCTAGTTGAATCCTGAAAAACAATCTTAATCTGCTGAACCAAATATACGGGGATAGGGGGGAGTCAATAAGTCCTTAGAGATGTCGCTAGTAACCTGTTATTATTAAGCGTCATTTTTTACTAGGTATCTGTCAATCTCATAAAAAGAATTGGAAGAGATAAACGTCTGCCTCAGTAGGTAAAAAAGACCATACCATAACGTAATATACTGATGCTTCTAAAACGAAAGCAAGAACTTGGGCCGAAAGCCAGATAGGAGGCCAGGAGTATTTGGGCCGAAAAGTAAATACTCCGAACAAATGAACACCTACCCAGCATCTTGCAGGCAGCAATCTACGACATCGAAAGATGCGTACAACTTCTCTTAGATAGGAACTATCGGAAACAAAAAATGGTCATCTTATCCAATAGTCAAGCAGCCTTAAGAGCGATAAACTCAGTAATATTCGAAGTTGGTCAAAGAATGTCTGGAGAAGCTGAAAAAATTAGGCGAAAAAAATAACACTCCACTAACTGCACCAGAACCGTTCTGCTTCCCAAGTGGAAACTAACTTAAAGAATAATTCAAGAATCTGGAAGCTAGAACCCATAACATCCGTAACCTGGAATGAGAATCTCCCAACTGTCTAAGATACTCGAAGAAGTTTCTCATGGCTAAGAAGATCTTCGGATTATCACGGGGGGTTTTAACAAAGCACTGTCTTCCCAATAAACACGTCAGTAGATTGACGCTAATAAACAAACAGGGGTTCTGTGGAGGAAATGATGAAACACCAGAACTTCACATCACTGAGGGCGAGACGATATCGGAGATGGAGAACTAACCCTTATAAAACCCTTTCGGATACTGGCTTTGAGGAAAATTGAGGAATTGATGTTTTAAATAATAAACCATCCACCCTATTCACCCGATTTGGCTCCGAGTGACCTCATTTTATTTCCAAATTTAAAAAAATGGATGTGAACAGCGGTTCACGTCAGGAGAAAGAGGAGGTGGTCATAGCACAAACAAACGCGTATGTTGAATAGAAGACTTAAAAAAATACAGGGGCATCTTGTAAAGTATATCGAACTGTGAACCCATGTAGCATTTTTAGACACAAAATCGAAACAAAATATCTTCTGAGAAACATTGCGAAACAGTTTCGTCACATTTTTGATACATATGTTTCGTAACATAAATCGCTTTTTTTGTTTCGCAACATTTTACTAAAATATGGTTTCGCTACTTAAGGTATAACATTAAAGATCTTTGTCACAAATTTTTTGAAACTTTTAAGAAACAGATATGGCCCAAATTTACAGATTTCGTACCCGTTTTGTGCCTAAAAACTTTTCATAATTTATTTCACATTCAAATATGAGAACATAACCTTACTTTATTGTTTTGATTTTGTTCCGCAGTTTTTGCGTTTAAGTATTCTTCAAATTTTTATAGTACTATAATTATTTATTTATTATTAAAAAAGCAGAATAAATATTATGGTGAGTACAAATACGGATTTTTCTTATGCGAGTTTATAATTATTTATTATACGCATTACAGAGATGATTTGTTTTAGGATTAAATGTAATAACAGCCACTACCCATACCTAACAGGAGACCGAAGAAAAATGTTACCAGCAAACGTTTTTTTTTCTCTTTTTTCCACAATGGAATACATGTTTATGTTTTAATCGTGTTATAATAAGTAAATCATTTTTTTTTAATCGTTTTTAAGTTTTGGTTGGCGTTGTTGACAGGTGACTAGTTCGAAATTTCTACACAAGTAGCACTAAATCGAAACATTTTGGAAACAAGGTTTCCATTTATCGTCGATTCATTTTCGAAACACGAGTTTCTCGCTTTTTAGGCAGTAATATGATATAATGTAGATGATTTGTGTCCGACTTCATGTCAATTTTATAAAATAATGAATAAAAATTCCAAACCGCACACAGACATATTATTTTAGTTTGATATTTTGTTTCTTCCCCTTTAGAAACAGTGGTTGCTGAAAACGGGAACATCTTGGGCACAAATTGAAGAAAATGTTTCGAAACATTTTTTCAAAAAGTTTTGATTCCGCATCGAAACATTCCAGAAAACGGCTACTGCCACCGCATTGAAAATACATGTAATTAAGCCATATAAAATATATAGGTAAATGTTTCCTATTTGTTGCATACCGTTCCCATTTTGTGTCGAGAAACAGACATGATTATGATTATTAGAAGCATTACCTAAATTGTGCCTAATAATGCTACTTGGGTATAAGGAGATTATGTTGAAAAAATACGGCAAAAAATTGTTTCTTCTATCTTCTTCTAAAGACTTATTGACCCCCCTCGTACATCTGGCACTAAAAGATTACCTTAAAGTCGCGGCTATGGGAAGATACCGATCCAGGACTGACAACCGGTTTATCATTTCTATTGTACTCCGTGCTACTTTTATTTTTACTTTTACTTGTCACGTGATCTCTCAAAGCCATTTGATACGCTAACTCAAACGCCTGTCCAAGAGTTAAAATAATTTCCGTCGCATGATCCTATAATTAATGAAACGTTACAAAAAAATCGATAAGCATGCCGAAATTATACTAACAGAATTCATAGCCTGGAAAACATGGCAATAGTATAAATCACTGTCCTTGGTGATGTAAGCAAAGTAGGACTGTTCGTCGTCATTCTGACATGCGCAATTCATATTTACAATTTCGTGTTCGCAAATTGTGTTCTAAAATGCATTCATAGTTAATATACCTTAAAAATCCGTATTTTTGTTTTGGTATGTTACCTTATTAGAAGGATTAATAAACTTGACACCTTTATATGAAATCGATAAAGTAATCTCTTCCAAATAGTGGTCTTTCGATTTCAATATTTTTTCTATTGACTTTTTACTTGATTCGGTTCCTTTAAAGTCCTTAATTGTAGTTGATCCCCAATACTAAAAATATTTTTTTTATGAAATATTAACAAATGACAAGAAATACTGTTTATGCTTGTCTTCGATATGTATCTCGGTTAATCTGTTGCTATCGCTATTTTCTTAATATCAAGTTACCATTTTTTATACAACCCTGTTCTACACGATGTTTAAAAAAGGCGCATTGTGGATGTTTGTAATACAAAAGGGCAAAATGTATCCAATACTCAAAAAAAAACCATTAACTGTGTTCGTTAAAAACACAGTTGTATAGTCTGTGAAACGAATAACTTTGAAATTGACAGTTCCCGCGGGCTTTTCTAGTGTTAATTTTATTAGGTTAGCAACTTATGGCCATGCTGACGCAATGCCGTCTCTGATAGAACAGCCTCGGAGAGAGATTTATGACGTCACGCTAACATAATTATTCCTTATATTTGACTATCGCTGGAATCGTACTCCATAGTCAATGTAGATAGTTTTAGTGTTAAGAATAATAATTTTAAAAAATATGTGGTCATCTTTTGACAAGTTTATATTAGTTTATTAATTGCAGTAAATACTATGTGGTGTGTGGTGTGAATATTTTATATGCAATTTTTTGGATTATATTCGACACTATTTTTTTTATATGACACAACACTGATGAAGGCTATAATGCTAGCCGAAACGTTTTTTTTTTAACCAAAAAAAAATTATGAAAAACCAAATGAAAACTTAATCAGCGTTTTTCCCGAACCTAAATCCCAAGAAAATAAAAAATTTTAGAATAATTTTCATTATAAAATGACAGCGATCTTTATTTCATAGCCATCGCTGACGTATTTTTTTCTGATATTGTATTATTTGCAAATATAATTTTCCGAACACTGATACTTGAAAAATATATGTACATATAAATTTTGTGAATGCAAATAATAATACATCACTATTAGTATATACTGAATGTTTTTTGTTCAATTAGATCGATTTTCAAACCCCAAAATTTAAAATATATTTAATATTTTACCCATTATCTTATGTACCTATTCATTATTTGTATATTGTAAAACATTTGCTGCATTTTTATGGTTCATAGTTTATTTGCCAAAGTATTTATTACTATAAATAGGTATATATATTATATTTATTAACTGTATATTATGTATATTTCATGTAAACTATATCATTTTTAAAATACAAACCAAAAATACGAGGAATAATTATGTTTTCCATGTATTCTACAACATATTTATTAATCCGTATCTAATTAGCGTGACGTCATAAATCTCGCCCCGAGGCTGTTCTATTAGAGACAGCATTGGTCTGATATTTAGAAATGTGAAAAGCTGATGACATTTTACTTTTGACAATTATGCCATTTTGTGTTGATTTTTGCAAGAAGAAGAAGAACTGTCACTTGTTTTATTATTTTCCTTTTCTATTTCAAGAAAGTAAAAAGAGTTACTTATCTGATTCGTTCAGGCACTCAATTTAAAGAATACTTAAAGAATATCAGTAACTTTTTTGATAGAGGGATTTTATATTTGCCATGTTGGTAAAAAATAACGGTCAAAATTCAAAGTTATTCATTTTATAGACTATACATTAACTTCCTGTTTCACCGGAAATGACTACAAATTTTGACTTTTAAATGACACCCTAGGTATTTTTTACTTTATTCGATAGTAAATGACACTCTGAATAGAATGACATATCATGTGTAAATTTTTGACATTCTCGCTTTAAAAAAATCGTATTTTAAATTTCTATGTTAAAAACACTTGGAAAAATAGATTTGATTTTCTAATGTTTGTCCTGTCTTGTTCTGGCCGGTTAAAGATGTCCAAATCGTATTGTTAATCATAACTATTTTTTTTTCAAATGGCACAAGGATGGCTCATTAGCATATGTGGAAAGAGCATTTTTAAGAATAATTTGGTACCACACACTTGGACACTTGTTGTTTCGAGTCAAATTATCGTTACATTTATGATCATTTACTGAAAATGTCATAAGTTGACATATGATATGTCACTCTATTCAGAATGTCATTTTCTATCAAAGTAATAAAATACCGAAGATGTCATTTCAAAATAAAAATTGGTAGTTATTTCCGGTGAAACAGGAAGTGACCGAAAACAATTGATAAGTCAATCAATCCTGATTTATGTCATATACTAACATACCAAATCTCGTTTTTTATCTGAAAAAATTAAAAAGTTATACGGGTGAGCTACTTTTGTGAGATACTTCAGGGAATTTTATATTTATTTCTGTCAATTGTAATTAAGTATTTTTTCTGTTAGCGGAACTAATCTTTCGGAATTTTTTCGAGTAATTCTCCTTCGGTCAATGGTTTTCGGGCAATTGCAATAGCCACAAATAAGTATTACAAAATAGAAAACTCAAAAACTACTTACATTAGCTGCGTATTTGACGGAGCCCGTTATAAGCCGAATGGGCTGATGCCTCCACTGGCTCTTGATCGAGTTACTGCCGCCCACAAATATCTCCGAACTTTTCTTGTCGGCTTTCGGTTTGACCGGCGGCTGGGGTGCCGGTCTCGACTTCTTGTGCCGATGACGGATCGTGCCGGTGTTGCCACTGTTAGTAGAAGTGGTGCTTTGAGTCGAGGGCGACGGAATGTCCTGGCTCAATCGATTACTGCCCTTCTAGAAGCGGACAATAAGAAACAGGTAGGTAAAGTATCGAATCCGTTATACAAGGAAAGGATAGGAAGAGTAAAATACTTTTAATTTTTTTACATACAGGGTGAGTCTTAAATAAGTGCAAATATTTTCAGGGTTGGTATATTTCGACCCCAAGAATACGTCTATGAGGTTTTTTCGCAAAAAAAAGATGTTGAAAATGGTTTTTCTTTTAAATTATTGAATTATTTTTGTATTTTTTCTCTGTGAAAATTAAATATTAAGTTTTATTTCTAGAAAAAGGAGATACAAAACAATGATTCCACTCAATGGGCACGTTTTCTGAAAAATACCGATTTAAACAAAAATTTGAAGAGAGTGTACAAATGATCCCCAACCTGCAAGATTGCATATCAGACCGGAAGAAGAATTCAAGGTCTCTGGAGAAATACCATTATACTCGGTATACCCAGGTATGATTACTTTGTTAATTTAAGGTACTCTAATAAATTTAACAACAATTTGTTAGTTTCAAATTTGTTGTCTTCCATTTATCAAAGTGACGTTATTTCTGTACATTTTCCCTCCCTAATTACTCAACTTAAGTTTATATTTTTAAGTCTAAATTAGTAAGTTAGTTAAACAATTTTTATAATACGTTCTTTTTAATTTGATCAGAGACCTTATAGGGGCAATGTCTAAATAAAAGATTAATATAAATAGGCTATTAAAAATACATTATGGCATTTAGTCTTGTGCAAATAAGTTTCAGGCGTGTAAAAATATGAATTTCATTATGCCATCTCGATAAATTAATACTTTGCATAATTTTAGTCTAACTTTTTACAACTAAATTTATTTTTCTTTAAAAACTATTAATTGATTCAATAAATTTAACAGAATAAACAGAATTAAAAAAAAAACAATAATATAAAGGAATATAAGACGATGATATAAATATTCGACTAACAACGGACTATCATCAATTACTATTGACTAAAGATATTTGCCTTTACAAATGCAACAAATAATGCTTAAATTCATTTAGTTTATTCCTGAACAGTATTTTATCTGTACCTATCGTAAACATTGGTTCATTTAGAATAGAATTATTTTTCCAAATTTACTGATACATCAGGGTTTTTACTAATAATTTGGAAGAAAAAAAATTGATTAAAAAAATACTGACAGACAAATCGCTTGAATGTTCATGGTCATTGATTGTGAAAAAGACTTGATCTGCAGAAAAAACGTTTACTCGAATGCCGCTAGAAATCATGCAAAACATTATACATACCAGTAACGACGTTTCACTACTGATTTCTTCCAATTTCGGTCCAGTAACAATTCCGTCTCCGTTGCTAACGCTAGCCAAAATTCTCTTGCGATGTCCAATTTTCTCGATATCTAACACGGCAGATAACTCCACATCCCATATTCTTTTGATCCTTTCCATGTCGTGATATAGATGTTTGTTGAACGTATCGAAATACTGTTCCAGATGAATCTTCCTCAGCCAGGTTTTTACGATGGTCTGATCGTTATTGTTGCAATTCTTCGGAATCTGATCGTGAATCTTGACTGGCAACTGTTTTACTGCCTCCATTATTAAATCACGTTCTTCCTTGGGTAGTATACCCATGCTGGTCAAATCAGTATCATCTAAAACTCCATTCTGTAAAAACAGACCGAATATATTGACTTTCGTTAACTTATAAGCCAAATTTCAACTTTAAAAATGTTTAATTCATGATTTTGCCAATGCTTATTCCAGGCTTATTCACGATTATGTTTTTGTCAATTTGACACGTTTAATTTTTTATCTCACAAACTATTAGAGAGCAATAGGTTAGTATAATTTAGTATATTAAGTTAGTATAAGAAAAATTATGAGATATGAATTTCAAAAGTAGTTTCCAAAAATGTAATAATATACTTTGTGTTCCATTTAAAATAAGATAGATGCTACCACCTTGAATTTTTAAATTTCATATTGAAATTTGGTGCATGGACGTTAGTTTTTGACCAAGGATGGGTAGAGCAGCACTACCATGCATGCAACAAAGAAATAAAATAATTATACGTCGTCAATATCTCTACGACAGGTTTCTAGTTATTTACCTATCCGCGTAAGTATATAAAGGGTATTCCAATAAGAGGTTTCGGATGTTGAAAAGAAATTAAAAAATTGCCGCCGCGAGGCACGTATAGCCGCCCATACTAAAATATATTATCTCAAAAACTGCGACTTTGACTGATTTTGATGTTATTACAAATTTTGTTGCAAATATTATTCCTAATCTTAATTTGGAAACCGCGTTCCGCTAGCTACTATAATTTTGGAGTTATGATTTTTTAAATTTTTAACCCCCTCCCATACACCCTTACCAATCCCCCACCCCCACCAAAAACTAATGGCCAGATTCTCGGGTGCCACAGTATTTTTGTGCCAAATTTGGTTAAAATCGGTTCAGCGGTTTTTGAATTATCGTGTTACAGACAGACAGACAGATACCATGAAAATATTTTGTATTTAGGTCATTTATGAAATTAAAAAAAACTTTTTTTTGCTGATCTTAATAGCCTACCATACCTATTGGTATGGAACTGAGAAGCAATGGAAAATGTTATCGCAAACATCCATTAATGGATCTGCACTAGAAGAAGAAGAACTACAACAATGTCGAACACCTGGAAAATGCTTTAAAAATGCCAGCTAATAATGCCTTTTGCATATTTGCAAATCCATCCCGTTATAATAAATTCCGTTATAAAAAAAAAAGAAAAATATATTTCAGATTCAGTGATAACAGTTCAAAAGTTAAATATATCCTCGAATATATCAATCCCAAATAAAATTTTAATATGTGTATGACTATTTTAGTAAATACCATTTTAATTTTTTTGTTATAAAAACGCCTACTAATCAAAAATGATATATTTTAAATATTGCAGTAAATATTGAGGGATATATATTTTTCAGAAGCTCATAGCAAGACGGATCATATGACTTATAAATATACAGGGGTGTTCCATTTGAAAAAATATAACTTTAGTTCATATTTTCAAAAATATTTTTTACGTAGAAAAACAGACTACGCCACTGTATTCTACGTAAAGAGTTCTACATGAATCAGTTTTCACCTTTTTGATATCATCCACAATAACGGAGATACGGGGACTGTCCCAAATTACAAAATTTTCGAAAAGATCCTGTAGCTCAGAAACGAAGGGGGCTATGAAAATTTTGTTTACAGCATCTTTCATTTGACAAAAAAGTGGAACGAGTTTGTGCAAACCGCATCCTCCTATCTTTACTAATAACTGAGATACCGTACGATTCAATCAAAATGGGACACCCTATACCGCTACGCAATGCCATAAATAACTTTTAGATCTGTTATGAAACTTATATTTTATTCGTTATCAACATCCGAAACCTCTTATTGGAATACCCTATATTATGATCTATGGTTGTGAAGATCGCATCTTCCTTAGTTATTCCCTATTTTCTCAAAGAGATAACAAAAACGCAACCGAATCAGTCATCATACTCACCAAAAATCCAATATCATCGAATCCATTAGACGTAAAGAGGCCCGCGTAATCGGCCATGCCGATCCTCTGCAACCATTTTTCAACTGTCGAGTCGGCCGCGGCGGCGACTGCGGCCGCATTATTCAAACTGTTCTGGGAACAGGAGATGGTCATTAGCCGGCTCTGGAATTCCTTCTCCAGTTCCGCAACGAACACCGACTCCCTAACGATGCCCGTGCCGAACGAGGCCATGATTTCCTGGATTTTTGCCCATTCTTCCTGCTCGTCGAAGGGACTCAGCGCAGACATACGTTCCGTCTTGCCGTCTCTGTTCTCCTTATTGTCGGACTCCTTCTCCGAGCTGGACGAGATTTCGTTGTCGCTTTTCAGGTCGTCGGAGGTCGAGCTATTGTCGTAGATCCGTTTCAGTTTTTTCAGGGTCTTCGGACGAACGGCCGGTACGTTCATGTTTAGGTTTTCGAGGATTCCGGTTGCGGCACCCTTGATTAGTCCTGTGGAAAACATGTATGCACAGGCTATTATGTTGTGCCCAAATTTATGGTACGGTAGCTCTGAGGTGCTTCTTTATGTGATATTTCATTTTCTATCAAATAGCTTTTGGATACCGTACATAGAAATAGAAACATTGTAGATAGACGAGTATATACCGGGTGTTTTGAAATAGAAAGTACACCCCAATAACTTTTTCATTTTTGCAGATAAGAAGACGAGTTTGATATGTCAGTAGGTATATGACATAAATCGGGATTGATTGACGTATTCAGTTATTTTCCGTTACTTCCTATTTCACTGAGAAAATAACATTTTGAATAGAATGACATGACATAGATTACATATTACCATTTCCAGCTAAAAAATAGTATTTTAAATTTCAATCTAGAGTACCAAACTATCTCAAAACCACTAATTTTTAATCAAGGAGCCCTGGAAAGATAGATCTGATCGTCTAATATTTTTCGTCTTTTATCATGGACGGTTAAAAGATGATCAAATTGTATTTTTAAACACAACTCAACTTTTTCAAATGGAACGAGAATGGCTTATTAGCATATTTGGAAAAACCAATTTTTTATAAATAATTTTGTTCCAAATACTTGAGTCAAAATTTCGAGGGTTTTCGTTATTTATTGTCGTAACACTCTAGATTAAAATTTAAAATACATTTTTTAAGAGAAAGTAAGTAGAAAATTAACTATTTAAAAATTAAAAATTATAGTCATTCCCGGTGAAACAGAAAGTGACCGAAGGTAATTGACAACGTCAGTCAATGCTGATCGATGTCCTATACTAACATGCTAAATCTCGTTATTTTAACAAAAAAAAAATATAAAAGTTATAGAGGTGAGCCGCTTTTGAAAAACATCCGGTATCACTTCAGTAAACTTTAAGTACATGCATATATCAAACAGTCTTACGCTAGAATGTTCCAAGCCAAAAATGTAATATACAGGTTGTTACCTGGACAGTTACTTATAGGGGAACAGAATGGCAACACTGCCTATTGAGAACGCATGACCTTACTGCCGACTCGTCACGTCGCGTCGTCTATCGACGAGCGGGCCGAGGTTGCCATATTTCAACCATAAAGTTCTTGCCGCGAGTAAAAAACAAATTAACAACCTGTATCCATTTAAAAAAAAATTATCCTTATCCACTCAGTTTTTTAAGCCATCCTATAGAAGTTAAAATATTTTCCTGAAATACATCCTCGTACATACTTTAGGTTTGCGCACTTAAACAAAATTCTCAAGTTTTTTTTTTATTCTATGAGCTACAGATGCCAGATGGTCTATTGCCGGGCCATGTTAATACTTATTAAAAATGTTTGTGTGCTTTTTATTAAATTAGCCACGAATTATAAATTTAAAATAATCTAATAAAGACACAAAGGTAATAGCAATATCAACGTAGCATACATCTTACCTGAATACGGAGTATCAGAATGATATTCTTCTAAAATATTATCAACACTTCGGTCGGAAAGAGATACGCTGCTGGAAAAACTACAGCTAGATTCGTGGTCCCCGATTAACAGATATTCCTCTTCTGTTTCCGTCTCCATATCTCTCGATCTTCTCTTGTATTCCTGTCACATATTTTAAATACCTTGCAAACATATGTTTCACAAAATTGTTTCATGAATAAAACTTTACAAAACCACTTACCTAGCAATACAAACCAAACAAAAACCGAAAATAAATAAAAATGCATTACTACAACATCAAAAGCAACCTTAAATCTCTAAAAGAATAAAGAAAAACGCTAAAATAAAAGGTAAAATATATTTATTGCAATTTAACAATTACATAAAATAAAATAAAAACGTAACACTAGAGCTGCCGTGACTTAATACATAAACTAACAAAGAAAATAAAACAAAAGTGTGAAGCAAACAATATGTTGCAAAATAATAACTATTAAGATAAAATAATTTATTTATCACATAAATTAAAATAGAACACAGAAAAATATAAGCATGAGGACAATATAGCAATATAAAAAAGAAATAATTTGAAGTATGTGGCTTAATTTTACTTAATTACTTTATTTCAGGTACAATCCGATAAAATAGTTTTCATATACACCCGCTTAACCACAAACTACTAAAATTATTTCCATACACAAAAACATAAAGAACAAATCGGAATATTTAGTGTAGGGAACACACTAAAAATAAATACAAAACATATCACTAAAGACTAATTCCATGTTATTAATAAGAAAGTTACTTCAAGCTGCTCATTTTTAGATCAATAATTATTAAAAGTTATTTTAATTAATTCAGCAGTATTTTTCTAGTTGAAATAATATGTCTATACAGGGTGTTCTTTAGTGACAAATTAATATTTAATGGAGTAATTCTAGAACCTATTCTAAGAAAAAAACTTCATATGAGTAGATGTCCTAACTTTTGAGAGAGGCGGTTATTTTTTTTGAAAACTCATCTTTATGAAACTTGATACAACGTCTTCTAGGCATAAGAATAAGTTTTTTGATGTAAAAAAATTGCTGTATCTCTCTGAGCATTTGACTGTATAGTAGCAAAATGCGGCCGACAAAAAACATCAATAAAAATTATTTCGAAATGAATCGCAATATTTTTTTCTTCAAAAATAGTCAATGTAAAACCCATATAGACACTGGTTGATATACAGGGTGGTCCGAACTGTATTCCGGAAACTTCCACAGCATATTCTGCAGATAAAAATAAGTCAAAAAGTTCATATAAATGTATGTCCTAAAATGCTTAGTTTTCGAGATACAGGGTGTAGAAATTGCATTTTTATTTCGATTTTTCCAAATAATTTCTGAAGTAACGTCAATATATGGATGAAAATTCCACACCTGTAATTTTTAACCAATCAAAACGTGTTTTTTTGACAAATCACCATGGCAACGGATAAATTTTAGTGAAAATTTTTTCTTTGTGGGCACCCAACAGCGAATTATACTGGAAATTTTTTCACGTTTATATAATGACAGAATATCTTTTTGAGAGTCTGGTTTTTATTTGTTTACATGATAATTTACTAATATATTTCAATTACAAAGCTGAGGTGAAAGTTTGTAAACTGCTTCCATACGCTTGACTTCGATTTCCTAGTATTCGCGGGTTTCAACTGCTTAATCTCCTGGCGAATATTTTCTTTGCTTTCATGACCAAAGCGAAACATTTTTTTTAAGCCGTGCCGCTTGACGGCTTCAAAACTGAAATAGTTTTTAGGTTTGGCTGTCACTTAGTTATCGTAGTAACTAAATAATCAATTCGACCAAAAATCGAAAACTACATTTTAATTATTTGATTTTCAAACACAATTTGGTGTGGAATTTTCTTACCGAATACCACACGAGGTCAAATTAAATCCGGACATTTTTTCTCGCTCATGAATATTTTTAGAAAATTATCCCTCGTCTTCAACTCGGGATAATTTGACCTCTAGTGGTATTACTAGTGAAAATTGGTGACTGGGAATTTTTGACACATATTTTTTAGCTGGTGTGAAGAGTAATAACTTTTCCATCCGTACCTGTATAAAACTACCGAATAAAAAATATTTATTTAATTATACATTTACGACGTTTTTACGTAAAAAATGTCTCTTGGTAAAAATCGCTACGGGTAATGGTTCTAGAGATATTTTGAATCGAAATTATCAATACCTGTCATCATTGACATAAATTAAACATGTTGACCTGATGTTGACTAAGTAGTTATTAGATTTAAATCATAAATTTGAAATGTTTTTGTGCTAAACGTTGAACAGAAACTGTTTGTTGAGAAAAATTTATGATTAATTTAAAAAAAAATAGAAAGATTAAATTTACCAATTCCAATTCCAAATTTATCATATCAGTCAAATAACTATCTACTCAACATCTTCCATTCTAAATATCTTGAGAACGGTTACTCGTAGCTATTTTTACAAAGAGACAGTTTTTACGTAAAAAATCACGGAAATGTATATTTTCTCATTCAGTAGTTTTATACAGGTACGGACGAAAAGTTATTACTCTTCAAAACAGTTAAACCACACGTAGGTGGCGCCCCCTACAAATAGGAATCATATTGACATCAAAATCAAATTTATCCTGTCAAAAACCTCCCAGATATCAATTTTCATCCAAATATTGACGTCAGAAATTATTTGGAAAAAATCGAAATAAAAATGAAACTTCTACATCCTGTATCTCCTTAACTAAGCATTTTAGGACATACATTTATAGGAACTTTTTTAATTATTTTCATCTGGAAAATATGCTGTCGACGCTTCCGGAATACAGTTCGGACCACACTGTATATAAAATTGTTTATACATTAAAAAAATGTATTTTGACGCATAGTGTATTAGATATCATAAAGACATAGATAATAACAATTATTTGAAGAAAACTTTGCTACCCCGTATTTCAAAAGTTAAGATGTTTAGTACATACATTCATATGAAGTTTATTTCTTAGAATAGATCCAAGAAACCACCCTTTTAAATATTAGCACGCCATTAAGGAACACTCGGTATTAGTAATAAAATCTTCTAGGAAAATATTGTATAAGAAATAGCAGTAAGCAAAAAGTTACCGGTAAACTTGTTTTATACTTTCGAGTCTACCGCGGTGAACTCATGGAAATAGCCTAAATAAAAATCTCAAGAATATATAAAGTAATTAAATACTGAAGTAATAATAAGAAATAGATCTAATGCTGTTTAGCGTAAAGCATAGTTGCAGGATATGTCAGGAACTCACCTGACTTAATGGACGCATTTTTTCGTAAATCACATTTTCGGCTTGCACGGCAGATGGCGGAGGATGTTCCGGAGTGGGTGGTTGATTGTAGTGAGTAGGAGACATGGGATAGTTGCTATTTCTATTATTTCTTCCCTCTTTTCCAGCAGTTTTTCCTTTCTTATCGCCATTGTTATCGGAAATCATTAGAAACGCTCTGGAAACAAAGGTCGTCTCTGGCGCGGAACAACTAGATATTGCGTCGTTTTCTTTTCGTTTAAAATGGTAATCCTCGTACACGTCATTGTGCCTTCGCAGTTTCCTTCTAGGATTCTGCTGCTTTATTATCGTGTTCTCATAGAGACTTGTTATAGCAACGGGTTCCGGTTTCTTTCTATTATCCAAGTCCTCACTTTTACCTCTCTGCAGTTCACTTTTGGGCCTAAACAAAAAATCTCATGTGGCATATTATAAAGACTGTAGCAAACGTTCAACGTTACGTCATCATCATTTATCAAATATGCGTTTTAAGGTATATCTTAGAGGCCGCTATTACACTATCAAATTTATTTGTGAAATATTTTATTTAAAATATATTTTATGAAGAATTTGACAGTATAATATGTGTGATTTTATATTGTATATTAACACTGTCAATTTTTTCTTAAAATAATATATTATATAGGATGTTTCAAAAAACATGTGCCATCTCTCGTTGGGAGATTCATCACCTAAAAATAAGATTTTTCATATTAACATAGGTACGATTTATTATCATTTTCTTCCAAGTACCGGGTGGCCAACTAAGAATGGATGCCGGATGTATCTCAGAAACTACTTATCGTATAACTTTGGGAAAAAAATTCTAATAAGTAAATCGACCAAGAGAAATCGCTGGAAATTATTTTCAAGATCGAAAAATATCGCAAGGGGACGTTTTTCTGATTTTTTTTTGATATACAGTTTATTTCTTTATCTCAGAAAATAAAATGGTGGGGGAAGGTTAAACTTGCTTTTATTAAAATAAGGATAACTCTGGTTTAGGTTAACCGATTTAAACAGACTAGGGCTCGTTTAAAAGAGCTTTTCTTCCTTAACCCATGATGATCTCCAGTGTAAATTTTGTTTCCATAATTTTTTTCGTGGTAGCTAGAGGGCGCTGTTTGACATCATAACAGATATTGCGCATAAAAAAATTAAATAGGAGGCTATATTTCTCTTTGCACAGTTAAATAGAGCACACAATTTCCGAAATATTAGTGCAAACCGTAACTTTCTATCTTCTCTCTAACCGGAGATATTAAGAGAACAAATGATGTTAGGCTGCCGCTTAGGATTATACAGGGTTGTTCACCACATACGACACGGAGTATTGTAGCTAAACGATGAGATTTTGACAAATTGTAAGTTTTGGGTTCGATGAAGGACTATTAGAGGTACAATTTAAAAATAATTTTACAAGATACAGAGTGTCCCAAATAAGTAAAAAATATCAAAGTTTTATTTTTTAAATGGAACACCCTGTATATTATTACATTTTTAGTTTCTACGATTAAAATAAAGGTAAATTTGATTAAGATTTATTATACTTACCGTTTTGAAATATTTTCAATTTTGTGAAATTGCAGTAAAAATTTTAAGGCTTCATTTCTCCAAAGGGTATCAAAATTTTTGATACTAAATATTTACTGAAGTTTATTTAGTGATCAGTTATTGTGTAGTAATAATAAAAATAATACTACCTTATACAGAGTGTCTAAAAATTTATTTTAAATAATTATTAGCTTCAAACGGCAATAACTTGTTTAATTTAAATGGAACACCCTGTATATTTTACTAGAATCAGATGCACAATTTAATTGTCTATCAAATTATATTAAACCATTTTTTACCTATCTCTTTAAGTTTCCGTAGAAAATGCATTTTCTTGTAATTTAGAACTTATTTATCAATATACCCATGGACTATTGACATTTTAGGTCATTTTTAAAGATGTACCAAATTTTTAAAAGAGTACAGATACTAATATTGTCGATATAATTCGTTTATTTCATTAAAAATAAAAAAAAAACTGTTTAAATATTTGTTAAAGAGGACCAATTAATATGATGCCGTATTCAAACTACATTAACTGACTGTTTGCGTTGATTAATAATAATTGCTCCAAATACTAAAAAACTGAATTTTGTATGGGCATTAGATAGTGTGATAAAAAGTAACACCTTAAAAATGATATTTCATTTTTTAATAAATGCTTATTTATAACAACAAAGACTTTAATTTGATAACTTATTATTATATTGATTTCTGACTCAAAATCCACATTTATTTATAATAATTTATTAACGAACACAATTAAGTATGTCATTAATTAGTATATGGGCGGAAATAATGGTGTTATATTTAATAAATGGTATACTCTTTATAAAGATTTAAATAGTTTTCTTTTTGCATACAAATGAGCTAGTAATATTATCGTTTTGCTAAAACGATAATATTACTAGTCTATTATTTGTACATTTGTTGCTTTAAAAACAATCTAAAATGTCAATATTCCATGGATATATTGATAAATAAGGTCTAAATTATAAGAAAATGCATTTTCTACGAAAACTTGAAGGGATAGGTAAAAAATGGTATAATACAATTTGATAGACAATTTAATTGTGCATCTGATTCTCCTAAAATATACAGGGCATTCCATTTAAACGAAAGAAGTTATTGCCGTTTGAAGCTAATAATTATTTAAAATAAAATTTTAGACACTCTGTATAAGGTAGTATTATTTTTATTATTGCAACACAATAACTGATCAATAAATAAACTTCATTAAATATTTAGTATTAAAAACTTTTTACCCTTGGAGAAATGAAGCTTTAAAATGTTTACTGCAATTTCACAAAATTGAAAATATTTCAAAAACGGTAAGGTTTAAGTATAATAAACCTTAATCAAATTTACCATTATTTTAATCGTAGAAACTAAAAATGTAATAATATACAGGGTGTTCCATTTAAAAAAATACAACTTTGATATTTTTTATTTATTTGGGACACTGTATCTTGTAAAAATATTTTTAAATTGTAGCTCTAATAGTCCTTCAACGAACCCCAAACTTACAATTTGTAAAAATCTCATCGTTTAGCTACAATACTCCGTGTCGTATGTGGTGAACAACCCTGTATAGTCTAAAAGTTATTAGAGTAGGCTAGGAAACAAAAAGAGGTAAATTGGTTACATTAAAATATCATATATTTTAATTTCATTTTAAAACCATTTAATTGTTATTTATCCATGTTCCTTCTTGATTCGACCCCATAAATTAAAACACAGGCATATTGAATCCGATGACCTAGCTGGCCATGGAAATATGCCGCTCCATCATCTCTATCTACTAAAGTAAGTGGTATCCATAAAGCCCCACACATTCATAGCAAAATATGCGACACAACTGCACCAACTGCATCATCTACACCAACTGCATTCATGCTGATGAAATTGGAACAAATGCATTTTCATAATGGTGGATCCCCTAACAAAATTGGCAATTCATCTCTTAGTTATGGATAGTTCATTTCATTCAAATAATCATTCGCCATCCTAGAATTCCTGCCTAAACATGTACCGACCAACGGTCTTGGTGCTGAACTACTTGCATCCAGGGTAGATTTGGACCAGTCGTGCATATTGTTAACATTCGCATCTTCGGGGCTACATGAAAAGTGCCCCAAACGACATAAACTTTATAATATAATAATAAATAACGCAAATAACAGGTAAAACATGAAAACAAGTGAAATCAAGGACGAACTTGGAGATTAATAACTAATAATTATAATGACGTTACATAAAATAAACACCTAGTTTTCAACCATACGAAATTTGACCGTTTTTTGTTAAAAGCAATATGGCGGCACAAAATTCCTAGTAATTTTAATAAAATTATTGATTGTCCGACATTCGGATATTTTAATCTGAGAACTACCTACGTATAATTAAGCAAGAAATTCGTAAAAATTATGTGGATGGACGATAATGTTACATAAACACGTTTAAAAATGTATGACGTCATCTTTTTTAAGAAACCGCCAGAAATTCGGATGCATGAAAACTGAACTTAAACGTTAACTAAGACGTAACCAAATTACCTCTTTTTGTTTCCTAGCCTACTACTATAATTTTTAGATCATATAATCGGCAGCCTAACATAATTTTTTCTCTTAATATCTCCGGTTAGAGACAAGATAAAAAGTTGCGGTTTGCGCTGATATTTTGGAAATTTTGTGGTCTATTTAACTGTGCAAAGAGAAATATAGCCTCCTATTAAACATTTTAATGCAAAAGCGCAATATCTGTTATGATGTCAAACAGCGCCCTCTAGCTACCACGAAAAAAAAAATGGAAACAAAATTTATACTGGAGATCGTTAAGGAAGAAAAGCTCTTTTAAACGAGCCCTAGTTTGTTTAAATCGGTTAACCTAAATCAGAGTTATCCTTATTTTAATAAAAGCAAGTTTAACCTTTCCCCACCACTTTATTTTACGAGAGACAGCAAAAAACTCCATATCAAAAAAATTACAAATTTCTCGATGATTACAATAGTAATATTTAAAATACCTGTTCACCTGCATATTTTTGAGAAAAAAACTGTTTTCTGACTGGCTATCAGATTAACGCCCCCTAGCGGACATTTTTCGAACTTGAAAATAATTTCCAGCGATTTCTCTTGGTCGGTTTACTTATTAGAATTTTTCCCAAAGTTATATAAGTAGTTTCTGAGATACAGCCGGCGCCAATTTTAAGTTGACCACCCGGTACTTTTAGCGTTTCGAATTAAATTTTGAGGGTGAAAGTTACCATAAATTCGACATATTTTAAAGCTAAAAAAGTGTTGACATATTTACCAGGGACGTGCATATGGGTTATCACTGGAATATTTTTCTAAAAAAAGCATGTACGTCACTAACTTTTTTTTCTCTTGTTAACGAAATAGTGTAAGCAGTTTAATGCCGATTAAAAGTTGTCTCTTGATATTTTGTCGATTTCGGCCTCCTTGATAAGATAAAACGCAATTTTATTAATTTGCCTTGATAGCAGCCTTTAAAAAAAATGTAATATAATTAACTTGCGAAAGTTTTAAATAAGTATTCATTGATTCCTCATCAAAAAATATGAAAAAAAGTTCCTAGAAATATGGGTATGGAAATCCATAGTTTTAGATTTACGTGATGTTAAAACTTTTTGAAATTAGGTTTTTTGTAATTATCTTAAATACCCTTATTTTTCTATTTGAAAAAAAAAAATCGAAGAATTATTAAGATTTTAACACCCTGAAAAATAAATCTTATTTTTACGTGAGAAATCTACTCAAGAGAGATGGCACATGTTCTTTGAAACCCTGTATAAAAGATCTTTGACAAAGGAATTTCACAGTCTTAGAGCAGTTCATATTATTTAGAAAATTTTAAGTACGTTCCTAAATTATTAATTGAGCGAGTTCCGCTTACATCTTTATACTACTCTTTTCTACTACTTTTTTACTACATTATTTTTTAGTACTATTATTTTTTACTACTTTAATCTACTATCGCATGTTAGACCTCGAGCTTCAGTTCATAATTTTAAACGCATATGAAAATTCTTTCCAGCTAAATCTTACCTTCTTTAAAAATCAATTTATGAAAAAAAAAAGAATATTCTGTACAATACACCCTTCGAATCTGTGACTCTCCCACATTTAAGATGCACAAAAAATTATATATTTGATGTACTTTTAATAAGTAATTTAATAAGTAATTTAATAGTAGTACTTTCCTGTAAGCGGATTACGGAACAACATGCAGAAATTTACGAAATCTCAAAAATTATATTGATCGATATGCGTCAATAAAATCATAACTCCAAATCAAACGACAATGGCAGAAAAAATTGCCAGTCACCAATCTCTTTTATCTGGTTATCAAGTGAAAGAAAGAGTTCGACAAAATATGAGGTGACGTTGAACAATCGCCGATCAAAGAATATTTTTGATAAAACACCACATCGACTTACCTTTCAACTGGTTCATCATCCAAAGCAATATCGCTGGCAAAAATGTTCATTTCGACGTATTGGTCCATACTGTGACCATGACCCAACCTATCTCTTCTGCCATCCTTTTCCATTTCGTTGAGGTTATTTTGGCTTCTGGTTCCGGTGTGAGCAAGAAAGATATATTCGTAAGCGCTGTTACTTACGCCATCTATTGAGGCAGACATAGGTTGGGAATGAGTGGGAGATATTTGAACGACTCTACGCGGAGGTTTTTTAGGGGGAGTTGGCTGTAAAATATATAATTTTTTAGTAAATCAGCCGGAGAGTATTTCACTAATATTAATCTTTACCGATACTTTACTTCCAGAGCCGGGGCTGTGAGCTCCTTTATTCATAGGCATGTAAAGAGCAGCTCCGCTATCGGGTCGCCTGCCATATCCTAAACTAGATGCCGTAGAAGATAAAGAAATCTGATCCGATTCCCTATTAGAGAAAGAGAGATAGTTAAGGTCCTCGGAATGGACGCTAGTGTCCATAAACTGTTTCGGTGCCGAAGGAATTTGGTAAAACCCGTTATCCGAATCCCTGAAAATAATTACTTAAGTTACAGTCCTATGTAAATCCAATTTGCAAAACTTTTAAGAATCCCAATGAAGGATGAAGTAAACAGGTATATTAAAAGCCAACTATATTTAAGAAAGCAGTGGTTCCTCGAAATTCAAAATATGACAGAATAATTCTATTGAAGAATAATCTTTGAATAAGAAGACTAAGGAAGGAGCATATCAAAAATCTTAGGTACACCGCGATGGGCCTCAAATATGGCCGACTTAAATTCCGGTTTATCAGTGCCGTTCTAATTTTATTTAAAAAATGTAAAACTATGATGTAGGGTAGACGTGGGGTAGACTCAATAATTTGTTATTTTATTTTACGTTGTGAATAAATGTTGGTAGTTATTAAAATTGTTATAAAAATATATAATTCTAATAAAAATAGATAAGTTATAATGTATTTATTACCATAAACATCCGATACGCTACTGAAGCAAGTAAGTCAAATTAACGTATCTAAATTCTTTGACATCTAATCTTTGACAAGTAATAAATAAAAACTAAAATGCAAGAAAAATATATAATTTAGTTAATTTAAGTGAATTTCATAAATGATCGGTTTACTACACGTATGTATGCTATATAGTCACTTACTAGCGAAAAGTTCTTCCATTATTTCACTCAATTTTTGCCGAGATCTACCGCACGCTACACAACCAACTATTTTAGAGTCTTTTTCGATAAATCGCGATAGTGTCACTGTTAATTTAAGTGCTGCCACAATTTCCATCTAGATTTACTACCTTTATACAACTATCAGTAGTAGAATAAATAATAAATAACATAAAATAAGCTCCGTAAAGACTGACAAATCCACAAAATTTCAAATCAAATTCAAATGTGTCAAATGAATCGTCAAACAGAACTGTCAAGGATCCCCACCCTAGAGAGTTTTTATGGTACTTTTTCCGCCCACCATGCAATCATACATGGATAGCATTATGCTCCTTCCTTAGTCTTCTTATTCAAAGAGAATAATCAACTTCAAATGAAACGTCAAACAGGACTGTCAAAGATGGAGGTTCATGATGTCGATTCAGTCTCAAATGTGTGAATACATAGATAGTACTTTACTCCTTACTTACTTTATTTATTCAAAGAGTATATCTGACAAAATATTCATATAAACATTAAGTTATATCAGTAAAATATACAGGGTGGCGCACGGTAAAATATACAGGGTGGCCTCGGTTGATTATGCGAAAACGGAAAGATGTAGAAACAGATTTTTTATGGGTATATGTAGAGAGGCAATGTGCATAATTTAAAATTATTTTCAAATGTACAGGGTGTACCAGGCCAGAACTAAGATGAATACCAAAGTTATATTTCTTCTTATGGGACACCCGGTATTTTATTTCATTTTTTGATTCTTGGGCATAAAGTAAGTCATTTATTATAAGAATTTGGTATGTTTAAATGCTTTGGTTTTTGAGATATTGAAATATATTTAAATATGCATACTATAATAAAAAAAAATTGTCAACACCTTGTACATTACTTTTCAGACTTATTTCTTATACTGACTTTGAATGCGCAGAAATAAACTTTTTTTATTATAGCATGCATATTTAAATATCTTTCATTTCAAAAACCAAAACTTTTAAACACATTAATCCATTATAATAAATGCCTTTTTTATGTCCAAGAATCCAAAAATGAAATAAAATACCAGGTGTTCGATATGAAAAAATATAACTTTGGTATGGATCTTAGTTCCGACACACTCTGTACATTTCAAAATAATTTTAAATTATACACACTACCTTCTCACATATAGGAAGAAGAAGAAGACTGGTATCTTTTCTGTTTAAGTACAAAATACTTACTGAATATCAATTTGGATTTCTAAGCAACAAGTCCACAAATGACGCTATGTTTTCCCTCCTTAATAAAGTTTACTCCAGCCTAAACAACCATCATTCTACAGCAACAATTTTCTGTAATTTTTCTAAGGCGTTCGATTGTGTAAATCATAAGATCTTAATTAATAAACTGCAACACTATGGGTTCAGGGGATCATCTCTCGAATGGTTTAAGTCGTATCTGAGCAACAGAAGTCAACTTGTGAGGGTGGATACCACGTTGTCTTCTAGCAAGCCAATAGAATGTGGAGTACCACAAGGCTCAGTACTAGGCCCTATTTTGTTTCTTCTTTTTATTAACGACATTGCTAACATAAACATCAGTTGCAAAATATGTCTTTTTGCGGACGACACTAGCTTCACTTGGAGCAACAAGAATATCACGGCACTTCATAGGATTATATCAAATGACTTAATCACCATTAAATCTTGGTGCGATTCGAACCTCCTGATCAACATTTCTAAAACTAAAGCTTTGTCGTATAAAAACTCGTTGCAGCCTTTTGTACTTAACAACACCACCATTGACGTCGTCAAATCTGTAAAGTTCTTGGGGCTTGTTGTGGACAATTCTCTGAAATGGGACATACATATCGAAGCTTTGTCGAAAAAATTGAGCTCTGCCTGTTTTGCATTAAGGTCTGTTTCTAAGGAGCTTAATTTGTCAGTGGTTAGAACTGTTTATTATGCACTTTTTGAGTCGCACCTCAGGTATGCCCGTCCATTCTGGGGTACGTGTTGTGCGACTCAATTTGACCGCATTTTCAGGCTCCAGAAGAGAGCTGTTCGATATTCACTGGGACTAAACAGCAGAACTCATAAAAATATTGACTCTTCCTTCCTTATTTATATTTGAATCCGTTTGCCTAATACGTAAACATGTATCAGCTTCTCAAGAAAGGCCATCTCACACTTATCCACTCAGGAACGCGGAGCAAGATCTTTATCTACCTACCCCACGCTCAAAGTTAGTTAAAAGTTCAATATTATACAACTCGAAAAAAATGCACATCACCTGCCATTTGAAATCAAATCCATAACATCATTTTTTTTCATTTCGCAAAGCATTGAACTCTTATTTACTAGACAAGGCTTTCTACGCCGTAAATGAATTATATTTTGAAAATCAAATTTGATCTTGTAAACACTGGTCTAATGTTTGCTATTGCTATATTTACTAATGACATCGAAATTAATTTATTTAGAGGTCATTGATATTTTACTATAAACTAGCTAAATATTTTTGAATATTATTTTTATTTTTTTACTTTGACATTATAAACATTTATAAATGTTTATTTTAACAATAAGACTGACAATATTATTTGTATAATGTTTTGTATTATCTTTTGTTTGTTTGTTTGTGTACCTTGTTTTTTTACTTTGTTTGTTAGTTTACCTTTGTCTACAAATTGAAAAATTTTTTGACAATAAAGGCATTTATTTATTTATTTATTTATACCCATAAAATATTTTGTTTCTATATCTTTCCGTTTTCGTATAATCAACCGAGGCGAATGAGGTGCGCCACCCTGTATATAAAAACTTACCATACACAAATTCCGAGGTACCACTGTAAATTAGCACTAAAAATTACATGCTTTAACCACAATACATCAAAACACTATTTCATTAATCCAGACCAGTCGTTTCACTAACATATGCATCATCGACAAAAATGATTAAAACTGGAATTCGTTTGTTTGAAACGTTATTGAGTTTAGAAATGATTAATTAATATCAAGATTAACAAAATATGCATATAAAATTTTTAAAAAATGTTTTGACGGTATTTGTGTTAATAATGTGTGTAATGTCTATTAGAATTTAAAAGATCCAAAGCCAAAATGTTAAAACCAGTTAAAATGAAAAAACACACCTAATTTTGCAATTAAAAGAACAATTACTAGCCTGGCTAACAAAATCATCAGATTTTCTACTGCACGGATCTTCTAAGCTCTCCATAAAATTAAATGCGATGCCATCTAACGGAGAAAGTTTACTTTTTCGAGACAATATCATGCTTTTTGATTTGGCTAGCCTAAAACCATGCAACTTTCGGAATAAGCAGAACAAGAAAAATTAGATAATATGATAAACGTTAGAGACAAAAAGATTTAAATTATAATATTGTTTGATTTTCAGTGAAAAATAATTCTTACATTCTAGTGCCATTCATATTCATATAAACATCGTTATTATTGTGATTTATGTCTCTGCCACTACTGAAATTGGATCTGGTACTACTAAAACTAAAATAAAAAAAATAAAATAAAAAAGTATAAAATGCATGCGCATATTTATGACTAATAAGAAACATACATCGAATGTTCCGATAAACCAGACACTCTGCGATCCTCAAAGCCTTCAGGAGGTCGCGCATAACGTTGATAATCCCACCTTTGAGGCGATGTACCAGGAGATGGATCAGTTGTAATAGACCTGTATAAAATTAATTTAATATGTACTTTAAATTGAATGGCATCAGTCAGTCACAAACCTCGCATTTTTGGATGATGGTCTAACATTCTCGTAGGGACTTCCTAGATCAGAGTCAGTGTTTGGCACTGTAGGAAAAGGGTTACTAATACTCTCACCGTCGCTATCAACTAATGGAAGACCACGTTTATGACCTGAATAATTTAGAAAAGTATTTTCAGTCTATAAGATTCTTTATTTTCAGTCTATAAGTCTGTCTGTAATGACTTTTAACCTTTAACCGCTAACGTGACGTTCTATAATGGAAATTATATTTTATCTTACAACGTAACAATGCTGGACATACAGGGTGTCCCAGGCTGAGCGTGCATTAGAAGTTTCTAGAAAACTGCAATATCTACTAAAAAATTCTAAATATTTTTTTATTTTTTCTCAAAAACAGTTAATGTTAGGTATTAGGAGTGTTTAATATCAAAATTCATAAAATTTTACAGATAACTTAAGTATGTAATAAAAAATGGGGGCACCCATTTAAAATAAGAAAGTTATTGTCAACTTCCTGTATTTACAGAAATGCCGCCATATTGATAATATTTTTAATCGATAGATCTCGTTTTAAAAAATGATGTGCAAAAAATCTCCGATCTAGATATCGTGGTTCTCTTGAAACTTCTAATGCACGCTCAACCTGGGACGCCCTGTATACATAGTGTACAGGTACAGATAAATCTCGGAGATGTGACGACACCCAGGCAGGTGACAACATCTTGCCAAGTTCAAAGGTAGTATAGCAAAAATATGTCGTCGAGATCTCCGAGACCTAATGTTAGAGATTGTAAACATATTATTTCCTATGCTTTTCTCAAATTGGTAGTTATCATAAATAGTGATGTTGGTAGCGAATATTTCCATTCGAATTTTGCAGGAAATTTCAGAGATTTCCGAAATATTCCGTCCCAAAATCCCGAATATTCGCAAAAATCCGAATTTTGCAAGAAATTTGGTTTACTAAAAATTTAACGAAAGTGTATCAAGTATGCCTATTCTTAAATCAGAAAAAGAATGCTTCTCCCGCTTCCCCGCCTTACAAAATAGAAAACGTATGGTTCTTAAACCAATGTATTTTGCCGCGAATCTCTTGGACCCCTGTTTCCTGGGAGAGCACCTTAACAATAAAGAACACATAGCCGCTATGGAATTTATCAACAATATCACCAACAAACATCCTCAGTTTGTCAATAATAAAGAAGCCATTTTTACACATGTAACAAATTATTGCGCCAAATCGGGTTTATGGGCTCTCGACTACGTTTGGATGTGAGTTAAAAATGTAGACTGTCTATTGGCTTGCCACCAATGTGTAAAAATACTCAGTTGAAATATTTAGCTGTTGCTCTGCTGTCTTTACCAACGTTATCTGCAGCCACTGAGAGAAGTTTCAGTTCTTACAGTTTTATCCATACTAAAAAAAGGGATCGCTTAACTGCACAAAGAGCCGGCAAAATAATGTTCGTAGCTCATAACAATAAATTATTACTACAAAAACAAAAAGTGGATATGGAGCATGATATTCAACATGAAACTCCTCCAGAACCACTAGAACCCGTAGAGGTAGAGGTCCATCCTTCAGAATCAGAACCAGATGATACATCAAATATATCTGATTTGGAAATAGAAACTGACGAAGACAGTACTATTACTACTATAATACCCTATGAAGATGGGACCAGCTCGGTACCTGAAATTATTCCGGAACAGAAAAATTCAGTTATTTCTGTTTTACGTTTTTTAAATTTATAGGTATTTCGTGCTTTTTTGTTTTTTTTAAGTTCATAGTCATTGTTCATGGTTTATGTACAAAGTACAAATGTTACCAAATGATTTTTGTTACGTGTTATGTTTATGACTTTTATGAGTTATGTATTGTTTATTAAAAATATAACAACTAATATTATGTTTATTGTTTTTTTTTCATTTACATGTTGGTATCAAATGTATATCTAATTTATTCCTTTACTGTATCAACAAAAAATATGTAAAATTGTAAAATTTCCTAAATTTCTGAAAGTTTCCGAAAGTTTCGGAAATTTCCTGCAACAGTCAAAAATTTCTGAAATATTAACATCACTAATCATAAACTTCCGAATCATAATATGCTCTCTAATGATTGAAGATTTGAAGGAAGGGCCTAAAATCTTCTAGATCAAAATGACAACGGTATAGTATTTAGCAAAAATATTAGGATTTAGAAGATACGCTTGAAGTTGAAGATATGGATAGAGAGATTCTAAAATTAATCCTATTTTTAGAATAGGACTATAGAATAAAAAATGGCATATTTTATCATCGATCTTTGTTTATCATCAATCTTTGAACTTAAAGAACTAGGATTTGCGTATAAGACTTGAAAAATCGATATAGTACTAACGAATAGCATCTACCGGACGATAACGACATATAAAATTATACTTGTATTCATTTAAAACTTCCCAATATGGCGGACTTCAGTATGGGAGGCTTAAAAAACGAAAATCTCTAAACTGGAATCGACTGTACTTCAAATCGTTCAAATTGATAATCTGTGGTAAATCCAATTGAACTCTGACACTTGGCTGACATTGACGTTTACGGTTTCTTTTTCTAAATATTTTCATTATTTTTTGAGTTTTTATTCACAAATTCTACTTGATTTTGTTCTTTTATTTAACCTGCAACCTGCAGTTACTAATTATATAGTTAAGTATAAATAATCTTTTCACCGATCAAGAATTGACGAATAGGCTGGAAGATATTCAAAATGTGTAAAACGCTTAAAAGCATATTAGAAAGCATTGACTCTTTCACAAATTTGTGAAAATAAATTAGTCCAGATGTTTGTATAAAGGTCTCTAATTATTTTGAGAAGTTTCCTCGTATCAGTAATTTTCAGGTTTGTAATATGTACTATATGATAATAAATAGATTAAAACTTATATTTCAGGAAACAGCGCGGACATTACAGATTGTTGTAAATCAGTTTTAAAATGTAAAGAAGGTTTAAAACACGTTTAAAAGTTGAGTTAGTAGAGAAGACCTAATTAAGGTAATGTTGGTAATGGGACCAAACATCAAATAACACTTGAAATATATAATTATGTAAAATAATTGTAAGTAGTTTTTATGAATCTGTTTGATATCTATTGCATTGTTTTTATATTTCTTGAAATATATATTTTTTTACTTTACAGGATACACAAAGAATAATAAAAAATACAGTTACTCACTAAAAGCACTTAAGGTTTGTAATAGATGTAGTTAAAATATCAAATACCATACCAAACCAAAAATTATGTTTTATTTTACTGGTATTCCTTACATTTGAAGGGAAAGTCATTTCATAAATAAGCAGGACATTGTATAGTACACTTTATATTAATAATTGTTTTTTATCCTATACTTGTTAGTTAACGCATCACTTACTAGGTATAAAATTTAGTACTGATTAACCTATAGTTGTGGTTGTGATATATTCTGATGTGTTTCTGGCAATTTAAAATAAGTTAATATTTAAACAAACATTTCTGGCCTTCCTGACAGGAGTGTGGACACAAATTTAATAAAGGTATAATGTGGATAATGTTCTGATTATTACAGTTTGCATGGATGTTTTTGTATGTTGTTATTTTTAATAAAGTATATTTAATGAGTTTTTGAGTATTTCTTTTTCCTTCAGAGGATTGTGTTTTTCTTTATATATTATAAATTTTCATAAATTATATCTACAAAATTTATTACCTTATAATTTTTTGCTAAATACTTTGTAGTTGATACAGTTTAAGAACTATTTAAATAAGATGTTTGAAAATATATAGCTGTTTTTGCACACATCAATTCAATCTGTGATTAACTATACTGAAATAAAAACAAATTAAGAGAAATGGGGTGATCTATCAACTATAACATGAAAAGCATCGTTCTATTTCCAAGTCTTCTATTAATTTCACTTATTAAACAACTTTAATTATTCAATAATCGTGATAATTCTAGGAACTCTCAGATATCGTCAAAACATGAAAACAAAAATTTACTTCCTGTAATTCTTAAGTCCCTTTAACTGAAATATAAGAAACAGGAGGGTTAATATTCTCACTGAGAAAGTATATAAAATACCTTTAAGTAAAATCTCTTCGGATCTGCGGTAAAATACCTTTATTCTTATTAAATAATTTCAATAATCTATGTATTTATTTATGATTTATAACAACCACCTAATAACCTAACTTTAACGTCAACTTGACAATCCTGAAAAATGTTATTGTTAACCAAAGAGTAAATCAATTTCTGAATTTGCTAACGCCAACTTATTTTTCATTAAAAAAAAATTACCAATTTTCGTAACTAGGTCGGCCATATTGAGGAACTTTTAAATGAATAGTACTATATCTCATAACAGGAACAACCCATGGTACAAAGAATACAAGGTATGATCGATAGCGGCTCCAATTTCGTTCAGTTCGCGCATACCACCTGTGACGTCACTAGGAAAATGAATAAATAAAAATTAAAGAAAGTTGACAGGAGATCTGCATTTTTTGGGGTTATGGTTAAGAATTGTTTATTTTTAAGACAAAAGTTCGTTTAATTTAATAATTACTAAAACCAGCAGTTCCAAAAAAATATATTTAAAAACAATAATTATCTATTAACATGGATTTGGACTTTGGGCCATAATAGGTAAGAATACTAAATTTATTTCTATATTCGGTACCTATAAAATTGTTTATTAGGTTTTTAGTTTGCGATGTTTATGGTAAATAATTTTCATGTTCATTGCCTCTGATTTCACATGAGGACAGAGATGAGGATATATATGGAAAAGTAACCACAAGAGGAATTGTTACATCATTTAAAAAATGTTGGGAATTTTATTGTTTCCCATCGAAAAGTAGAAAATGCCAATGCAGATTGAATGTATTGTAATTGTGATAGAAGTAATTCCAAGGGTGAAGTTTATTATAATTAGTGGAAGTAATTCCAAGGGTGAAGTTTATTATAATTAGTGACCTGTGCTTCTTTTTATATGTAGATGTTTCAGGTTTTGAGAATAAATCGGTTGAACGAAACCCAAAATTTAGAGGAAGTATTTGCATACCCAGAATATGCCCATCAAGGATTATATAGCTCAAATTTTCTTTAATGGTAGGCAATTATTCAATGCAAATTAAATTTTTAAGTGACTGAAATATTAAATAGTTTACAATATGGTATATCATTAAAAATATATTACTTTTAGGTACAATTAGGGCCCGATACATTTCAAAAAGTAGAATATTATTTTATATTAAATGAGGTATTGTACCAACAATCAATTTATATTAATACCGGAGATTAAAAAATCACAGAATAAATAGTTCTTTTTTTTTTATACTACAAAAATAAACTATAGAATACAACAGTATTTAAAAAATAAATAAAAATTATGTCCCGGCCGAGACTCGAACTCCGGTCTCTCGCTTCCTAGCCCGACTCCTTACGCACTGCTCCACAGTAACTTGCTTAGCGATAATTCAATGACGGTATATAAACAAAAAAACAGGTTTATAACAATATCTTGACGATTTGAACTGGCGCGCGGAGCGTGCTGACCAATAGCGCCTGTTATCACCTGTGACGTAGCGACCAACCTGCGCAATATCATACCTTGTATTCTTTGTACCATGGGAACAACCTGGTATAAATATCCACCAAGATTAGGAAGACAGACTTATCATGAACGTGAGCTATACAAAAGGTAGAATTTATCCAATGATAAAAAATCTGCATTGACTGTGTATCAGATTAGGCAATAGATTTCAAATCTCTAGAATATATTTGTTCCGATATGTTAGTGTTTATTTTTAAAGTGCTATACCATCGAAAAAAAAACGACTTCAGCGGTTAAAGGTTAATGTATGACATCTGGTTTAAAATACTAGAGAAAATACGTACGTTTAAGAAGACTAATGATCTCTTGGGCAGCTTGGGCGTTATTGAATTGGTTCAGCAGATCCATGACGGTAAAGTTGTTAGAATCTCGTACGGAGGTGTTGACTCCGTGCTCTAGCAGTGTGCGAGCTACTTCCACTTTGCCGCCTAAAGCCGCTTCGTGTAGGGCAGTACCCGACTTCGTGCGCATATTAACGTTAAAACCGGCTCGCAACAACACCTCAACAACCGCCCTGAAATAAATACATATTCCGAATAAATAATATCGCTTCCAGATTCCTTCTATTAATTCCATGCCAAAAATAAAGTGACTCGGAATATACTTGAAGAATGTTCATGTAACGACGACCAAGACTCCCTTGGTCTTTGCCTTGCAGTTAGTAAGTAGTCTTGATCTTGGTCTTACTGCAAGACCCTTGCGAGTTTCCATTTTCATTATAAATTTTTACTAAACACACTTTTATATAGAAAATCTTTAAATAACTAGCATTTTTAGTACTTTGATGCAAATAAAAATTTAAAGAAAGAAATTATTAGAATATTTTTCAGACAATTTTTATTGTTTTTCAACATACAAGATTGTACGAACTGTATTCCGGAAACTTCAGCAGCATGTTCTGCAGATAAAAAAGTAAAAAAATCGTATAAATGTATGTCCTAAAATGCTTAGTTTTGGAGATACAGGGTGTAGAAGTTAGGTTCTTTTTTATTTCGATTTTTTCCAAATAATTTCTAAAGTAACGTCAATATTTGAATGACTATTGGTGTCTGGGAGTTTTTTGACATGAGAAATTTGATTTTGATGTTAGTATGACTCCTACTTTAGAGGGCGTCACCTACATATTTTTTAACTGGTTTGCAGTACCTGTATAAAACTACAGAGTAAAAAAATATACATTTACGACATTTTTTTACGTAAAAAAGTCGCTTGGTCAAAATCGCTATCAGTAATGGTGCTCGAGATATTTTGAATCGAAATTATCAATACCTGTCATTATTGACATAAACTAAACATATCGACTAAATAATTATTAGACTTAAATAATAAATTTGAAATGTTTTTGTCCTAAAAGTTCAACAGAAACTGATTGTTGGGAAAAATTTATGATTAATTTAAAAAAATAAAAGGTTCACAAATTTATAATTTCTGTCAAATAACTGTCTACTTAACATGTTCATTTTTAATGAACATGTTAATAATAATGGTATGTATTGACTATTTCCATTCGAAATATCTTGAGAACGGCGATTTTTACCAAGGGATATTTTTACCAAATGTATATTTTTTCACTTAGTAGTTTTATACAAGTACGGACCAGTTAAAACAAATGTAGGTGGCGCCCTCTACAAATAGGAGTCATATTGATATCAAAATCAAATTTCTCATGTCAAAAAACTCCCAATTTGACAATTTGACCAATTTTCATCCAACTGTTTTTCAAAATAAACAAAATATAATATTTGAATTCAAAAATAGTAGAAAAAACTCTTTCTAGATGGTTTGAGTAATGTTCACTCTGAATAAAATGTAGTGAAAATTAAGATCTAGTAGCTTATCAAAAGTTCTTTTTATTAAAGGTCATATATTTTCATAAATAAAAATATTTAAATTTAATTTTTAAACAAATTTTGAATCTCTAGTAAATATTAGATTATAATAGAAGAAACAACCTAGCGCCTAAAACTAAAACGTACAAAACTTGGTAATAATTTCACTTATTCTTACTTTATCTAGTATTCTGATTACTATTATGAACGTGCTAACAAAATAAACCAAATAACAATGAAACTTTGAATGAAACCGTAAAAATAAACGTCTCTAGTTTAGCTAAAAATTGAAAATCATGAAATTAAGGGACAACAAACGGTAACATTGTTGAGTATGGGAGTTGACTAGTGGGGCGTAGAAGCTAGCCTTCTTCTCGGTATTTCGCCACTAGAACAAAATCAATTTGTCGGCGGTATTTTACTGATAAAACAAATTTGCCTAACAATCAAAATGCTTAATGTTTCAAAAGGTATGTCCTTCCTGTTGTCGGAAGCCAAATTCAAGAACAAAAGATTTAAAAAAAAATAAATGAATTTAAATTAATAATAAACTGACTTTCTTCTAGCGGCGGAAGAATTTTTTGAAGAAATGGATCCACCAGAAAGGTTTCATTTTCAATATTTTATTATTCGCTAATCCAGAACTTTGAAAATAACTTGGTTTATTTTATCTATTCCATTTAATCTTTTTCTGTCAATAATCACTAGGAATATAATTCTCCAATTCCCTTTAATTTAATCCTCTGAGTTAATAATCACTCATCCGCTGATGGAATTATCGTCACTTTACACAAGTGCATAATTGCAAAATTATCAAAAAATAGCAGCGCTAATGACGAGTAAACTAAGCCTAATGGTAATCAGGCTAATGTGCATTATGTATGCAGTATAACGCATAGTGGATTCTAAATTCTAGTCGTTTTTTGAAAAATAAATGAACTCTATAATCGAATTGAAGATTTACTTTTATATATAAAAGCGTTACCTTTATTTTCAATTTTCAACGAAAAAAAAAATTGTGCACTATGTGCGCATATTTGAAGTAAAACTTTCGTCTGACCGTCTTACACTGGTTCCTTTTTGCAGAAACGTGGAAAAAATTATTTTTTGACCTAATATTAAAAATGCCTGATAGAAAAGGTGTTTATAACACGTTAGTGATAGGGGTGAGGTTTATAACACGTTAGTGATAGGTGGTATTCACTGATAATTTTTACCCTACCGAAATCCAACATTTCTTTAAACAAATTGAATTATTACAACATCTATTAATTTTAGATATATAATATCAAAAAATGACAAAAAAAGTTACCGAATCATTCGTATGTATAACCCAATAATAAAATAAAAAATAGGGTATTCCCATTAGAAAATATGTTATATCCGCAACACTTTTTTGAAGTACCCTGTAGACTCTATAGTAATGTTAAAATGTGCTTCTTAACCTTACCAATAACTTTTCTATTTAACATTTTGTTCTAAAAACGTTAAAAAACATATTATGTAAAAAACGTGGTGTAAGTGATAAAGGGGAAAACAGCCAAAAGGGGAAAAAAAGACGATGAATACCATGTTAAAGACCGAATACCATATTAAAGATACAAAAATTTATTACTGTATGCGTTATTATTTGGCCATCGTTTGTTATATTCAATTGCAATTTAATATGTGTTTGGCTTCCTTTCACTATGATCCCACTCGGCTTGTCTCGCGGCAGGTTTGTGTAAAAAATGGATAGAAAATGTCTCGCTCTTGTCTCACTCTTGCCTCGCTCTTGTCTTGCTCTCGTCTCGCGCTCGGCTCGTCAGGTCTGGACGCACCATAGACTGCCGGAGTGACTGACGTCACGAATGTCAAATTGCTTTCCAAACAAGGTTTAGTTCTTTTATATTTCTATTGAGCTCTTCCAAATGACGTCACCAGTTAATATAAAATGTAAAAAACAGGTGATTGCCGTCAACCGCCGACTTGTGTCTGGTATTTTCAATACGCCTATGATGGTTGCGCATGTTGCAAAACCTGTGAATTTTTTCTGGGAAGTTTTTAAATGTTTTAAACATCTGACCGTACGTAAAACTAATGTGATTTTCCTGCAGTTCTGAAAAAAGAATACCCTATCTTTAATAGTTTGCAAATTCATAACACGAAAGGCCAAACTTAATTAATTATTATAGTTAAAAACATAGATAGTTAAATGATATGAAACAAGAACACAAACCCAAGTAATGTTGGATAGGCAATTTTGGAATATTTAAACCATTACACAAACAACATTGGTGTCGAAAAATGAAGATTTTTTAAAAAGTTGCAAAATTGGTTTATATTTACGTTTAGCGATTGCCCTGAATATCTTAAATAACAGTAACAAAAATATGGGAAACAAGAGGATCATAAAGAAAAACATATCTAAACCTTGTTAAAAAAAATAAGTGACTAAAAAAAGACAGCCTGTTCTTTTATTACTTTAGAAAACTAAGGGAAAGCAGCACAGTGCTTTTTGTCTAAGGTAAGTGAAAATGCATACCTTCATTATGAGCCTCCATAACTGGAAAAAATAATTTCTTGCACAACGTTGCCAGAAAAAAAATTACAAATTCTTTCAAAATGGAGTTAATTAATACTGCTAGAAATTCAGACTTAAAGAACTGTCTGTTTGACATGTTGTTATGGCAGAAACAACTAGTCCATATTTTTGTTTCCATTATCCACTTATCGGCTATAATGTTTACTGTGAAATTTTATTAATCAGCCTTCTAAATTCGCTGATTCGGGTTTTCGATTATTTTCCGGATTTATATCAAAAGGAACCAGTGTGCGTTTTGTCTGTCCGTCTGTCTGTCCATTCCGCCCTAATCAAGATGTAAACGAAACGTCGTATCCAACTTTGTAGAGTGGGACCGTGTACACAGTCACTAACATAGCCTACCCACCTAATTTAGTCGTGAACAGACGATATCAACTTTTAAGGCGGGCAGCCACTACGAGCGAAACTAAACTAAGCCAAGCGAAGATAAGATTTGTAAAAATCAACTCCCATACTTTTAAATGCATCAGCGGCCACTTAAGCGAAACTAAACGAAAATATATGAACGAAGATTTAAATCGTAGTTTAGTTTCGCTCGTTTTAGTTCGTGACAGGTTCCAGCGAATTTTTCGCAGCGATTAGTTCTATGACAGCAGAGATAGAATACGAAAACGCAGCTAACTTAGCTGACTACTGAGCGAAAATCGTTCCCAGTGGCCGATGAAACTTATTTTCGTTTAGTTACCGTTTCTGTTACTGTCGTGACGGTGATGGTGGCACCAGAGACTTCAAACTTTGGGAGATAATCTTCGAGAGGAGTGTAACGTCTTTCCTCAAGAGATTATTCGGAGCCTCATTCAGTATATAAAAAATCGGTGTGCAGAAGTGCGTAGAAACCACGGAGGACGCACATATTAACAACGCAACTTCTTTCATCATAAATACCAAGGTGCACCCATACACAACGTTCAAACTTAATTCCTAAGGAACATATTGCTAAGTTTATATATGTTTAAATAAATATATTAGTTTTGACTAGTTTATGTACGCTTGACGATTATCAATTAATGAGTGAATCAGTACCTTCATTAGAAATCGAAAGATAAGTTGGAAGGAAAGTATGTCAAAGCGCATTCTTGTAAAACCGTCTTAGATACTGGT